CTCCCACTGCTGGGGGGCTCAACGGTAAGAAAATAAAACACTGAAGAACAGCCTCACTTGTTACACAGATAACAGATTAAGTTGCACCATTTGACATTCTGTATCAACAAAGGCCAAGAGGGGAAATGTTTCACCCCCCCACTCCCCAGAACGGAGAGTGAGAGCATGTTGAATGTGATGACCATGGCCGTTTTGTGCATTGTGTTCCAGGTGGATCTGCTTTCTCAGGTGAATATGGTGTATTTTGGCATCTGGAGCTGATCAGTGTGTTTTTTTTCTGTGTCTTGTTAACCCCCTGGATAGAAGTTGGCCCTGAGGTTCCAATCAGACTTCAGTTTGCCCCCCCGCCCCCCCTCAGCTCAGACCAAAGTCGAGCCAAACTCATCCTCAATAAGCATCTTGTGGGCAACTTCATCCATGTCCAGTTGTAACCTCCCTGTCTGCTCTCTGCATCTGTTTGGTGCCCTCCCCCCCTCTCCCCTCCTCCCAAAAGCTTTGCCCCCTTTTTAATCGGTGAACATATCTTCCTCGTCTCTGGCTTGCTGCTAACGGGCTCTGAAATCCCTGAAAATGTGCTCACTGAAATGACTCTCTGCCCTCCGTACCGTATGTGAGAGCAGAGTGACATTTTGGATTTGCCATTGGCTTTCATCCAATGCTAATTAGCCTCCTCCTCTTTCTTCCTTCTCCTCCTTTTAGTAGTTTCTGGGTCGGACCATTAGCCACATTAATCCAGCTTAAATTATTATCATTAATAATAATAATAAATGTCTCCTGAGACTTCAGTGTGTTGCAGTTTGTAGTTGATAATGATGGTGGTGTTTTTGAAGGATTTAAATGGTGTTAATGTGTTGACTTAAAGCTGCTGTATACGACTTTCAGACCAGATATCGCACTAGAGCAGTGGTTCCCAACCTTTTCTATCATTGACTAGACTGACGACCCCTGATTAAATTACACATTTAATGGATATTTCATATTATATTCCGTGTATAACAATAACAGTAGAGAACAACTGATGAACTGTAAACACAATAACTGCAGGAAGTTTGTTTAAACTTAGCAGTTTGGATGAATTTTGAGCCGATTATTTCCTGTTAATATTGAGTAAAAGTGAGTCTGCATTGTATATTTTTTATTTTTTAACAATCATACAGACTTAATAGGCTTCTTTTTTGACAAATTCAGTGTTTTATTCAGTGACACTTGTTCTATTGGCGCCTTGGTTGTTATAACTGCATATTTTTTTTAATGTAGGGTGAAGAGAAATAGGCCTACTGTGTATATTTTAAACGTGGGACCATGGGACCCCTCATGAAGCTTTAGTGACCCATTGTGGGTACCCGACCCTCAGGTTGAGAACCACTGCACTAGAGGTGTCAGACCACAACAAATGAGCGAGCGCTGCAGCTCACCAGACTCCATTGACAGAAACACTAATTTTACCTCCCTGATGATGAAACACTTTGTTAGTGTTTCCAGCAATCACCAACTCTGGTTTGATCAAAATAAACATGTAATTCTGCCACGTAACGTTAACTAATCCTTGGGAATGCACCCGTCAAAGTGCGTCCACTAAGAGTGTTTCTGCTACTGACAGACTCAGGTTGTTATTGTCAGTGTCTGACAGCATTATGGAAAGGATCCCTACAGAGATAGACCTTTAGTTTAACCACAAACAGCCGTAATATCACTATCACTCTCCACCAGACTCCAGAGACAAAAACACTCATTTGACCTCACAGATCTTTGTAATAATAAGTATGAATGAATAACTGCATTATTTATATATATATATATATATACATCTGGCTCCCTAAAGTTAGTGTTTCTTTACAATGTGGGTCACGCTGAAGAGGTTTTATAAGAGGCTGATAGTGTTTGGAAAACGCCATGCCAACTAATTCCTGCCTTTTCGTGCCTGCTGTTTCCCCGTGTACACCAAACACCTAATAACCTGCTTTCACTTTGTGTGTGTGTGTGTGTGTGTGTGTGTGTGTGTGTGTGTGTGTGTGTGTGTGTGTGTGTGTGTGTGTGTGTGTGTGTGTGTGTGTGTGTGTGTGTGTGTGTGTGTGTGTGTGTGTGTGTGTGTGTGTGTGTGTGTGTGTGTGTGTGTGTGTGTGTGTGAGTGAGTGAGAGAGAGAGAGACTGACTTTATGTTCTGGTGTATAAACTGTCTTGTGCTTCTGAAGGTGCTTTGGCCCCTGGCCCGGGAAAAGGACGAGGGGCCAAACGTAAACAACAGCAGCAACAGGAGGGCGCTGCTGCAGGAGCCACCAAGAGAACCCGAAGGTACACGTACACACACACACACACACACACACACACACAGCTCTGTTGAGTAACTTAAATCACCAACCTCTTCCTCCCTCCTCGCAGCGACCCCCTGTTCTCGGCCCAGCGCCTGCCCCCTCACGGTTACCCACTAGAGCACCCCTTTAATAAAGACGGGTACCGTTACATCCTGGCAGAACCCGACCCTCATGCTCCAGACCCGGAGAAACTCGAACTGGACTGCTGGGCCGGCAAACCCATACCTGGAGATCTGTACAGGGCCTGTCTGTACGAGAGGGTGCTGCTGGCCTTACATGACAGAGGTACTCAGAAGGGACAACCCTTTCTCTTTAGACATTCGTACGATGTGTGTGAGACTCATGTATGTCCCCGTTGCAGCGCCTCAGCTGAAGATCTCTGACGACCGTCTGACGGTGACCGGGGAGAAGGGCTACTCCATGGTGCGAGCCTCGCATGGTGTACGGAAGGGCGCCTGGTACTTTGAGGTTACTGTTGAAGACATGCCTTCAGAGACTGCGGCCCGGCTCGGCTGGTCCCAACCGCTCGGTCAGTAGAGACTTTGTGACGGTCCACCTAATTCAGGAGGGTATTTTTAAATTAGAATAATTCTTGAAGTGTTAAAACATTTTCCCCTTTTCATACTTCAGGCAACCTGCAGGCCCCTCTCGGCTACGACAAGTTCAGCTACTCGTGGCGCAGCAAGAAGGGCACGAAGTTTCACCAGTCGATAGGAAAGCATTATTCCTCGGGCTACGGCCAGGGAGACACGCTGGGCTTCTTCATAGAGCTGCCCGACACCACAGAGACCTCCAAGGCTTTGCCTGATACGTATAAGGACAAGGTAACACCTAAGACACAATGAGGACTACGCTGACTGAGCACACATCCTTATTCTGTCTTAAAATGTCAAAAGATAAAATAAAGGAAATTAAGGTCATAAATAGTAATAATTATCCTACTAATTCATGTCATAATAGCTGCTGTGAAAAAGGTCTGTTGTCTCTTTTTTCATTACATATTTAGACATCTTTTGGGTCTCACATTATATTTCTTGAGGTCCTAAAACACACTGAATCTGACCGTCCTGACATCTGACGTCTGTTCTCTTTTCAGGCACTAATCAAGTTCAAGAGCTACCTGTACTTCGAGGAGAAGGACTATGTAGACAAAGCGGAGAAGAGCCTCAAGTCGATGACCCCCAGCAGGGTGAGAAAAGCTCTCTGAAATAATCCAGCCATGGATGTCCCTGTTTCCCCCCCGTTAACTCGTGGGTGCTGTCTTTCAGATGATATTCTTTAAGAACGGAGTGAGCCAAGGCGTTGCCTTTGAGAACCTGTTTGAAGGCCTCTATTTCCCCGCCATCTCACTCTACAAGAGCTGCACGGTCAGTTACACGGGTTCATGTTCGGGATTCTTTTGCTTTCTTAGGTTGTTTTTTTTTTTTTTTAAACTGAACTTGACCGTCTCTTTGTTCAGGTGTCCGTCAATTTCGGTCCACATTTCAAACACCCTCCGAAGGACCTCAAGTACCAGCCGGTGAGAGCTCCTGTAACGAGTTGATCTTACAAACACTAACGTCTTCTGAGCTGTTGTTTATCACTCCTCTGCTCTGTGTGTGTTTTCCTTCTCAGATGAGTGACATGGGCTGGGGAGCTGTGATCGAACACACGTTGGCCGACATGCTGTACCACGTGGAGACGGACGTGGACGGGCGACGCAGCCCTCCCTGGGAGGGTTGAAGGCGGCTTTGAATCCAGCACGCACACACCTCCAGTGAAACCATCGCTCCACCCTCAGAGCGTAAAATGAAAGCACCACTCACGGCTGTAACCTGATTGAAACTTTAAATTTGTCGTAAAAATGAAACGAAATCCACTTCTTTTTGGTGCTCTGCTTTAAAATATTTATATTTTGAAGTTAGTGTTACGCTGTATCCTGGGTATCCTGTTGAACCTGTGGGGCATATCGTTGCAGATAAACGGACCCACTTCAACACGTCACTCAGTCTGTAGACAAGAGTCCATCTGAGGTCTTTAGTGTATTCAGTCTTTTTGCTAATTTTATTTGTTTTACAATGTGTGTCAGTTATTTACTGTTTTATACTCTGAGTTAAATAAAAAAATTCTACATGTACAAAGGTTGAACTCTTTCATGAAACAAACAAAGATCCATTCAGATGCATTTGACATTAAACGTGTGGTATGCAAATATGTGCCGTTATGGGGTCTCTTACATAAGAACAGTAACGAGATGTAGATTGACGACGTTGTGAAGTAGCATGGGATCATGGGAGTTGTTTTCATTGTTAAACACTGCTGCTGGCAATCAACCCGACGTGACTCAGCAACGAGGTAAAGTTTAGTTCGCATTACGTTTAGTCCCGTTCGTCTCGACTCTGACGTATTCTGTATTTACTTGGAAGTTCTAGTAACTCGGAGGGTCGTAGGAAACGCAGCGTTACCTGAATAAAATGACAGATATCTCTGAGTTTGAACATTGTTGGAGACAGTTGGGATAATGGAAGAACTCAATTACATGTAGAACATAGAGCTAGAGTTTATAGACATTTTAACCCAATTGCTCCCGACCTGTTTGGTTTGTGAGTCTTTAAAATATATGTTTTTGCTTCATGGACTAGTGATTATTTTCATAATATTAATAAGAGGTTCCAGACTAAGTTGCATTTGTGAATTAGTCTGGTGATGTCAAGTTCATATTTTATTAAAAAAAAGTACACTTCATTTAATCTGGGTAAAAACTCATTAAACTTTCAGCTTAACCAATGAAATTGGTGCAATTAAACGTAATGTTTTTGAGTAGTTTCATGCTATTTACATCAAAATTCAAGTACCTAACAGAAAGCTATCAACATACTGGGTTCAAAAATGGATGGAAGAAAATGTCGGTGCATGAAACAGTAAAATACATAAAGAAGCAAGTGCTAATAAAGGGCGGCTAGGAGATCAATACAAATACAAATAAACACATGCTATGCTGGGATCTCCAGTGACGAACAGATCTGCCTCCTTTGTAGTTGTGGGTTGTTTCAGTGTCTTTAAAGCTTTGTGCTGCCAGCGGCCTCAGAGGGCGGTGCTGAGCAGCTCTGACGACGAGTAGTTCTCGTCGGACACCAAACTCAGCTTGCTTTCGTCCGGGTGCTGTCAGAGGAAAGAGAGGACAGGAATACTCAGCCTTCACATAAACTAACACACACACACACACACACTGAGAAACTGGTCTCACATGTCTGCGGAAGATTCGGTCCAACAGGCTGCGTCTGGGGCTCTCGGGGGTCTGGGACCTGTCGAGGTCTGGAGATCGAGATCCCTCAGGGCCAAATACATTCAGCTCCCTGAAACATCCTGTCTCTATCACCTACAGAGGAAGAGGAGGAGGAGGAGGAGGGGAGAGGAGGTTTGTGTTGGTATTGAACTCGTCTACAAATCAGTGTGGTTACTGTGTGTAATATTTTGCTGCATTCTGGTGACTTTATTCACCAATTTGTGCTTTTTATGGATCAAATTCAAAGTCCTCTGCAACTCTCAACATGAATGTACAGCAAATACAGTTGCATCAATTATAGAAAGGATTAAAAGACGTCAGAATAACTCCACTGTGTCCTCTGCCCTGGCACTGATTGGACGTGGTAGTCCCCAGCTAAACTCTGCTTCAGGTCAGACAGTCCACATAGGGGACAGGAAATACTCCGTGGTACAGTCGGCTTTGTACTCATTCCCACTGACAGGACTCATTCAGATTTTTTATTCAGACTTTATTCAGACAGACTTTCTTTTTACCGGTGGACCTGAGCTGTAGTTATTGGCCTACATTTAAAAAACGGTGCACCTGGGAGAAAAGTTAGCTCAGTGGGTAGAGTTGGCGACCCATGTACCAAGGCTGAGTCCTTGCAGCAGCGGCCCAGGGTTCGAATCCGACCTGTGGCCCTTTGCTGCATGCCATCCCCTCTCTCTGCCCCCCTTTCCTGTCTATCTTCAGCTGTCACTATCGTAAAGGCAATAAAAACTTTTTAAAAAAAAAACCCTACATACCTCGTTCTGCCAGTTGATGGGAACGCTGCCTGTGTTGAACTGAGAGTAGAAGTTGTTGTCGATGTGGTCCAGAGTGACCCCCTTCACCGAAGAGAACTCTTCGATGTCCTGCACGTCGCTGCAGTACACCTGTCTGGGCTGTAGGGACAGAAATCACACCTCCACCTTTACTAAGGGCACAGTGCTGGAAAGTAACTGAGTACATTTACTCAAGTTCTGTATTTAGGTACAGTTATTAAGGTTCTTGTACCTGAGTATTTTTGTTTTCTGCTACTCTTTACTTTCCAGATTCAGATTATCAATTCTAAATATAATCGACTAATAAATTATGATTTATTATTACTAATTTATAATAATTTGCTTTACTGGAAGACAACTGAGTGAAAGATGATGCATTTAAGTGACTTCATTCAGATTAATTCTGTTTCATTTTAAATAAGTTTGGAGAACTGCTGCATATGAGTTTAACTTCGATTAACTGAATAGAATTAATACAATTAATGTGTTTACTGAAGTTACTGTAACGAGAAATACTTTAGTCAAATCAAACATCTTTCATGCTTAAACTGTTTGAGTTTGATCAGGTTTTATACAGGTGATACTCTGTATTGGTTCGATACTGACCAAAATCACATCATCAGACATGAAAAGTGGAATCAAACCATCCCTAATTGTATTATTAAAAGTTGCGTAAAACATTCGTACTCACATCAGGTTTAAATGGAGGCTCGATAAGTCCTGCCTCCAGCATCCTGAAGTTGATTTTATGGAAGAAAGGATGCGACTGTACTTCTGTCCCCCCTGAGAAGCTCCCCAACCTCTGGTTCGGGTCCTTGGTCAACAGCTGCAATCCAGGACGTAAACCTGTTACCTTCTCGATAGATGGATGGATCTGATACATGAACCTGTCGAGCAGGTTTCCACACTTACCAAAGAACAGAGGTCTGTCGCCTCCTTGCTGAACTTGTCACTGTACGCCTCCTGTTCTGTCTGAATCCTCCTCTCCATCTCGGAGGTTCTGGCGTGCTCTCCTCGGGACTTGAACGGGGGATGCCCTGCGATCATTTCATAGATGAGGCAGCCGAGGCCCCACCAGTCAACACTCATCCCGTAGTGCTTGTTGCTGATCACCTCAGGAGCTGAAACCAGGACGAATCAATAAATCAGTGTGTGTGTGTGTGTGTGTGTGTGTGTGTGTGTGTGTGGTTTATGGAGGCAGTCCAAACACCACAGACTACAAACAGACAACAATTTAACTCTCAGTCACATGAATCACTATTAAAACTCAAAATTGTAACTGCTCCAACTTAACATTGACTTTAACTGTCACTTTCCTTTGTTTTATTCTGCAGTAAAAAGTCTGTTGAAATCTGCAGAAATCACGATTTTGTCGTATTTTTATACTTTATTTAACTTCTTATCTTCAACTGTCACGTATGAGAACTATGAGACACCTTGTTTATTTGTCATTCATTTGTCTTTATCTTGCAGTGTTTGCACATGTTTTAATTTATTTATTCTCTTGTCTCTAAAGTATTTGTAAATCACTGTGAGCTACACCCTCTGTATTATTATTATTATTATTACCATTAATAAATATTCCCTCTAGGATTTTGCACCTAAAATGCCAAGGAGGTCTCCAAATTCACCATGAACCAACATCCTCAGTTTTCTCTCAATTTTAACATCAAAACATTTTCAGTAAAATCAACTTAATTTTGTAAGTTAAAATGCAAACAACTCAGATTCACCCTCCAAACAGTGTGATTTTATTCTCAGTGGAACAAGTCGCCTTTGATTTTTTATTACTGGCTCAAAAACAAATTAAAAAAGATATTTAACAATGAGGAACATCAAAAAACAGAAAGGTTAAACCTGCAGGCCACCAGGGCGCCCAGATAAGACCTTTAGACTGGGCTGCTATTACATTTATGTCTCAACTAGTTTTGTTGTTTCAGTCAGTGAAATAACACACGCTTGGTCCTCTGTAGCTGGACATCCATAGTAATAATGAGATACATACCCATATAGCCGAGTGTGCCCACCCTGCCTCGCACCAGACTCCCCTCAGACAGCCTCACAGCCAGGCCCAGGTCAGAGATGCGGATGTGTCCTTTAGGGAACAAATACCAATAAATCTACTGAACTGGTTTGAGATTTTTGCCGTTATGACGCACTTTCCCTTTTACTCATTCCTGCTTCCCACACTTGCAGGTTAACCCAAAGCAGGACTTGGTACCGGTTCTTGAAACAAAAAATAGAAACCATGTGACAGCTGTAAGTACTCTGAAAACTCATTTGTAATTACCAAGGCGTGAAAAAAAACAGATTCCAGGTCTTCTTGCCAAGAATGAAGAAACAGGTGCAGAGGTTACTTAAAATAGCCCACAGCACACCTGATTTAATTTTTACTTCCTCAAACCACCTTTGTTTGTACTCATGTCAAAATACCTTCAGCACTGCTTCCTCCTTGAGAGCATCCCAAGAATGAAACTGACTGACTGAGCGATTGTCTGGCAGAAGTTGAACTGTTATCATTTAAATCATTCGGACTCTTTTCAGAGCTATAAATAGTCGTGGCAGAAGGAGGCTGTCATAGATTTCATCATGTTCTGTCTACAGAGATTGGAAGGTGATTTGCTTTGAGGTTATTATTGTACCTTAACTGTTGCTGCAGAGCTTTTAATAGCACACTGATTATCAAAACAAACAGGAGGTGTTCATTGAGACTGTACATACCGTTGTCGTCCAACAGAATGTTTTCTGGTTTCAGATCCCTGGAAGATCAAACACAACATTTCAATCAGTTCAGGACAGTAGAGATGTGACTTAAAGGGGTCGTTCGGGTTTTATGAAGTGACTCATCCATAGTCAATGTATGGCAGTGGGATGTGGGCACGCCCCCAGTTTGGAGAAGCAGACAGGAGTGTCGGCATGGAAGCTCAGCAACGTACTGCTGAGGACAGGGGCACCAAAGAAATGATCAGTGTATGCTATATTTTGAATATTTTCACTGCTTTACCTTGCCATCAGACAACACTTTCAGGAGGGAACTCAAGCCCTTAGCCCATTAGCTGTCTGTACCCGGTCTGGGAGCTGGAAGGACAGAGGGAGTTTAAACTCTACTAGCATAGTAGCGCAGACCCAGCAGGGAATACTGCTGGGGAGAGCACAACTGAGCTGGACTCACAACCTTGACGGAGGTTTACCTGATTTCCAGAACCCTCGTCTTCTTTGAGGTAAAATTACTGTTTTTGTCAAAGGAGTTTAGTGGTTTTGAAGAAAGGGATGTAAGGGCTTCAGCTTGTTGTCGGAAAGAGTTGTCTGATGGCAAAGTAAAGCTGTGGAAATATTCTAAATATAGCGCAAACTTATGTGGCTAAAATCGGTTTAGTTGCTGACCCCGTCCACAGCAGGATTAGCTTCTATGCTGGTACTCCTGTCTGCTTCTCCAAACTGGGAGCATCCCAACCGCCGTCTACAGCAGGTAATAATAGTAATATCTTTATTTATATAGCACAAAACAAAGTTACAAAGTGGTTTTCATAAAAAGCACATAAAAACACAGCAATAAAAGAATCAAAGTACTAAAGTAACTATCTCGAAAATTAAAACCCTTAAAAAGAATAGAAACCAGAATACGACAGTGTGCTTAAAGTACATTTTGAGTTTAGATTGGAAATAAGTACCTTAAACAACCCACTTAAAAAAAAAACTACTATCCCTTTAATGTGGAAACACACTCACCTGTATACTATTGACTTCTGGTGGAGGTGAATTATACCACAGCAGACCTCTGCAGCGTAGAACCGCACTCTGTCTTTGTCCAGGCCGGGCACGCCGATGTTATAAATATGAAACCTCAAGTCCCCGCCGCTCATCATGGTCAGAACCATACAGAGGGCGTGCTTGGTCTCGTAAGCGTACGCCAGATTCACCTAAATGCAGAATGAGGACGTGAATTTGAAGTGTAGATCAGTTAAAAACTGTTACTACTATAATAATAAGGGTGGCAATATTCTATATAGAATAGATCGGGGAGGTGAGGTTTTGTGTTTTCCTTATTGTCAATGAATCCAATGAAAAGAATAAAACCAACAATGTGTTAGTTTGCTTCTCAAGACTTCCTCAAGATGTGAATCTTTAAAAACACCTCACAAATATGGAGTTTAATCTTTTTAAAAGAGTTGATTATGTCCTAAAACAGCTGCTCGGTATAGTTATTAGTTGAGTACTATTTCTATTAAAGTGCGATCGTGTGGCTCATTGATGTGTTTCTGGACAACAATTGGCACAGAGGAAGACTGATAATTTTTACCTTTTTATTAGATTTGACCATCATAGAATAGAAAGCTTATTTAAAACGATGGGAAGCAGGCATTAAGCTGAAGGCTAACACAGAGGGAACGTAACTGTAGTAAACTCACCACAAATCGACTGTCCAACCCTTCCAATATCTGTTTCTCATTGAGAGCCATGGCCTCTCCTCTCCTCTTCTTTACATGAGTCTTCTCCAGCTTTTTGCAGGCGTACATCATCCCTGTGGCTCGCACCTGACAAGCCCACACCTGGAAACAACACACAAAGAAGTTTTAAAGTGACAACAGTGATTTGCAGCATCACAACAATGACTGATTGACAGACAGTTATCATTTTAATCACTCAGACTAATTTCCGAGCTATAAATAGTCAAGGCACAAGGTGGCTGTCAAAGGTTTCATAATGTTCCGTCTACAGAGTTTGGAATGTGATCTGCTTCTAGGCTATTATCGTACATTTGTTGTACCTGGCAAAAACTGACTGATTTTCCTTCATGTGCTTGGAAATCAAATAGTGGGACATTTCTTTTGTAATAGTCTTAAAAAGGTCTTTAAAAGTATTAAATATAAACTCATTATAATATATAGTCCCTGGTATTGGTCAAGCCACCAAAAACACTGGATCATCTTTTAGCCCCTGATTCTGGTCATTCATCTATTTAAATAAAACCCTTTTAGATCTCACTGCAGCAAGATTCTGGTATACCATATACTCTGATGTAGCTCAGATAGCCCGAAGGTTTGCTAAATTAAGTGATATATTGCATGGATCTAATTGTGTGGAAATCTTTACCATCAACTGAGCAACTTAAAAAATCTTCTGGCATCACTGGCATTGTGTAAGACTGGTTTCACTCATATCTCCGAAATAGGACTTTTACTGTTGCTATTAGTGATTGCAGCTCTTCTACTGAATATTTGTTTTGTGGTGTTCCTCAGGGGTCAGTCTCTGGCCTACTGCTTTTCTGCATTTACATGTTAGGACACATAATCCGCAGACACAATTATTTAAATTAATTATGTTCCATTTTTACGCAGATGACACACAAATTTATTTTTCTTTCGATCCCACCAATAACAACTAATTAATCACTCTCAGGGCTGTCCTGTCAAATAATTTCTCTCAACTGAATCCATACAAATCCAAAGACACTGCACGCAATCACATCTCATCACAACTTGGCTCATTCTCCACCAGTATCACCTCTAAATGCAGAAATCTTGACACGATCTGTGATAATAATCTCAGCATGTGAGATAAATACCCAGTCTTGTTGTTTTTGTTACACAAAAACTGTAAAATCTGGTCTTTTCTGTCTCCCTAGAAAATGGTCATTCATGCATTTGTCCCTTCCCGTTTGGACGACTATAACTTCCTCCACTCATGCTTAAGCAAATACAATCTTTTCAGACTATATTCAATTCAAATTGCAGTTTCTATACTCCTCGGGAATTCGAACTAACAAAAGAGTACGTGTTACATTGGCTTCCTGTGTATTTTAGAAAGGTTTTTATGCCTTCCTAGCCTGGCCTGAGATTGGTTGAATTTGCCTTAATTGTTGCAATTGCAACCTTCCTGGAGGGACTAATTAGCTTGCAAAATATAGTGGAGTAGAAGTATAGAGTAGCATAGAATTTGCAACTGCTTAAGTATAAAATTTGAGTAAATGTACTTAGTTACATTCAGTATCACAAATGAACTTCCAGTCTTTTGTGGGTGAAGACAGAAATCTCAAAACTTGGACTAATAAAACCAAAACTGAATGTCTAAATGCCTCTAGAGGTAAATGAGGAATTATATTTCATAATATTTTTAACCATCCATTTATAGAAGTAATATCCATGACAGAGAAATACTGATGTGACTGCAGTCTTACCTCTCCAAACCCTCCTTTCCCCAGTAGTCTGTACTGTCTAAATGTCTGCTTGGTGATTGGCTGCCTTGAAGAGAAAGACCAGGATCAGTTAAACAAGAAAAAACAAGTTTTGAGGAAAACTGAGCTAAATGTGGCACAGTGTCAACAATGATTTCAGCGGAGTGGATCGAGTACAAGCAGATAAACCAGCTACCCAACCAACCACCTATAATATGTATCTCGTTTCCTTTACTGGGCGTCACACACATGTCAGAACACACACACACACTGACCTCTCCAACATCTTCCACTGGAGGAAACGATCAAAAAACATGCTCTCCTGGTACTGCATGAAGGGATCTCCACTGAGGTACTTGTGTAGGTCTCTAAACAGAGAGGTTAGTCATTATTCCCTAAAAATCATATGCACACATAAACAGGGGCTTGTCCAGAGGGGTGCCCAGTATCCTTACTTCTTCCAAACCGTCTTTCAGAGGCTGTAGCGGGCTTCATCTTAAAGCTAGAGTGAAGACATGAGACCAGATGACCTAACACCATGTCATGCTAGCATGTCGGGACGGGGGATAAATAATGCTTCATAATTAAGCTACATTTTGGTGATGGAAAGGGATCCCTTGACCTCTGACCTTATGATATCTGAATGAAAATGGGTTCTATTGGTTCCTACAAGTCTCCCCTTTCCAGATGTGCCCACTGTATGCTAATCCCATGCAGTTTTGGGCAAAAAACATACATTTTGTGCAAATGTTATTCGTAGTGTAGTGTATTTAAATATTTCTGCATACTGGGCTCCATAAACAGTGTTGGAATTGCATAAATTGGGAAAGACAAGCTGAGACACATACTTCATGGCACCTCTGCATAAGTCAGTGCCCTGCTTGTGCCCCCCCCAGTCAAACAAGTCTGGACAAGCCCCTGCACATATCAGCAGAGAGTGTGTGTGTGTGTGTGTGTGTGTGTGTGTGTGTGTGTGGACTTACTCCCTGCAGTCATAGAAGACGTCCCCGCAGGGGTCGATCTCCAGACTCTGGATGCAGCTCTGTTCATGCTTCTGCACCGTGAACACACACTGAATGGACTGAGGAAACACGGATGAAATAGTAAGAGGGAAGGTTGTTCTTTGTAAAGGTCATTAATTGTGGTTAGTAGCAGCGGTTACAATCTAGGTTTATTTCTGGGTTTCTGGTAAAAATAAAACATGGAGTGTGTGTGAGGTTGTCAGACCTGACTCCTGAGGAATCTCTGAATGATGTAGATGCCAAACTCTCTCCTGTCCTCATCTGATTTGGTCTCAAAGGTTTCCTAGAATGCACATGTACAGACACAGTGTATGAATGTGCAGGTCAGCTCTTCAAAGGCTTAAAACTGTAAACATGTTCTAAAGACGTATGGAGCCCTTTGTGTTAATCAGATCATCAGACTCTTATATATCTGTCTCAACGTCAAAGACATTCTACACCAAATGTCAAACACACGGCACCCATTACGTCTTTACTGTGATAAGAAGTCTGTCCAACAGCTATTTCCGTCTTGTTTTCATTCTTCCTCTATGCAAATGTCAGTCAACTGCCCACTTTCTCATTTTGTGTTTCACCTTAAATTCAGTTAAAGGTTGTGAAATACACACATTAATGCATGTTACAGTCTTTGCAGTGTGTACTTCAGATTTGCTACTGAATGTATATTATTTGGTGGTTTTTGGTCCAGTATGCAACAAGTGTCATGTAGAAACTTGAAGCCACCAGTGCACAGACTGAGAATGGACTTTACAGTGGAGGAGGAGACGTCTTACAGGAAAACTTTAGGAATGAACAACATTTGCATATTCATAGAGTCTGTTATTTTTAATGAGGTAGAAGGAGTAGACGACTTTTTAAGGATTTTAATGTGGAAATTATACCTTTTTTTATCAGACACACATTGTTCAAATTAGACTATTTAGATATGTTCTAATACATGTCTGGAGGGGATCTTTAATTAAGTCCAATTTGGTTCTAGTGTTCGGGTTTTATAAACTTGAATTACAACACTAGATATACTGGATATACTACACTAGATATGCTCTTGAATTACAACACTCTTGACGTTTCCTCCCTTTTTGTTATTGAAGAAATGTATCAGTTCTCTCTCTTACTCACTTCATGCTCATATTATATTACAGACAACATCTGGCAGACACTGTTCAGTGTCTGAACTTTATTAAAAAGTCTGTCCTGCAGTGCCTCTGTGAGTTATGTTTCTGGACTTAACTCTCAACAATTGATGCACAGTATTTAAAAATATTGTCGTTGTTTTTTTGTGTTTTTTTTTTTTTTTGTTCTTACTCAAATGGAAACAGTCTACAACAGCATGCGTTTTGTCTAAAATGGGCTTCCAGACTGATCTGCATTGAATTACAGTAGAATCAGTCCCTCTATGAGTTCATAGACTTTTTTTTGCTTACTGTGGCCTAAAATTACTGATTTCGCGGCAGCTTTTCTAAAAACATGCGTTGCATGTTGTAATTAAATTGCAAAAATAGTTTTTTTTGTATAATTAATTAAAAATCAAAAGCAACTTGAGAATAAAATCGCACTATTTAGTTGTTCACTTTGTTCACACAGTGGTGTAGTGCAGGGTATACGCAGGTATACGGAGTACACACACTGATCTTTCTACAGGGTTTAACAGGGTGGTGTTCTGCAAGCTGAATTTTTTTTCTAGGATGGGGAAGATATGATATAGTTGTCCAATTTTCATGAGGATGGAGTAATGAATCAGGAATACACTGAAATGCATGTGGCTAATGTTCATAATGACCCTCACTGCCTGAGGTCGAGCAGCAGACGTTAAGTAACAGTGAGCAACACTACTGACATCTCACTGTTTGTAACACAGGCCTTTTACCTTTTACCGACTGCTTAAAAAAGGGAATTTGGGGACATAAATCAAGAGTATGACGCTGCACATGTTTGCCTCATCACAACTGGAAACCAGGAAGGAGTTTGGAAACATATCCAAGGTCACACAGAATTCACAGGGTTGGTTGAAGTTGCATTAATTATTGCTACTTCCTGGAGGGACTGAGAAACCCTTTAAGTCATTTTCCCCACAAGTCTGAAGTGTACCAAAGCGTCCTGGAGGGAAATGTGGTTCTGCAGATCAGTCTGACTCCGGCAGAAGAGCTGAAACAGTTTCTTGCCAATGGGCTGCTTCACACAGAGACTGTAGTAGTCTCGCTCTGACGGAGAAAACAAAACATGATGTGAAATCACACAACAGACTATGACATGTATTGACTCTGGAAGCACACTCGTGCACACACCTATGTTCATGGCCAGCTGCCTGCACTGACTGATTTGAGGAAAGCGAAGCATCTCTTTCCATTTCCAGCTCCTGCCTTTGCTCCCTCCACCTGCAACCAGCAGGAACAGGACAGAGGAAATAAAACTATTTCAGCATGCAATGTTATGAAAACACACTCTGCAAAGCGATGATGAATAACTCAGACTGACACGTCTGTCAGCACTGTGTCTCAGACGCGTGCACGTACGTGCACGCCTAACCCGGCAGGTTTCAGACAATAGTATGCTCCACTACAGTGAATGAACTATTTATAGCTGTGGGGACAGGTTAGCAAAGCCTGTGGGACCACATTACTCTGCAACTTACTTTCAAACTTAAATGGCCATGCTGTCATTTGAAGATCACATCTCAATTTGCCCAAAGCACATTTGTATTCCTACTCAAATGAAGCGCAATATGTTTCTTTCAGAGAGGATTCAATATTTAATTTAATGAGAATTTATGTTTCTGATCTCTGAATGAGCTTTCTGCTCAGTTTTTGTTGAATATTCCCAGTGACTGAGCCCAGACTTGGCGTGGATAAATAAAAGAAGCAGCCCATCAATCAGTGCTCTTGACTAATCTGTGATCAGTTTCATCATTCCTCATTCTCACACCACCATGTTGTTCTGGGCAGTCGCTGTCCTTGTGTCACCCATTCAAGATTTGACGGGACAAACACTTCCTCACAGAGATTACAGTATGTTATGAGGTGTGAGAGGAAAAGCTGCAACTTCAAGTCTAAAACATCTGTGTGTTCTTCTTCTACGTGCACAAAATGTTAAAATTAGCCTCTTGTCTAAAAGTGGAACCATAAATGCATTCATGATAAATAATAAACAATAACAACCACAACTGAAAAATTAAGTTTTACAAACACTTCTGAGGTACAGTACGAAAAGGTCTTACCTTCTCTGGCTTTAATAAGAGCACTATTTGCTACCATGCTTTCAATCTCCATTTAGGAGTGTGTGTTTGACAAGTTGTCCTAGTCTATTTGTCCAAAGCTGCGGCACATCCAGCGTTCATGCACTGACTGTTATAAAACCAGAGCTCATCACCGCGCCACAGTAAACACTAACAGCAGTCCAGTCGGTTGAGTTGAGATAAGAGGTGTGTCGTTCGGCTGCTGTCTAACCTGCAGTCCCTGTGAGTCACTGATGAATGGAGGTGACAGAGTACTCCAACACCAGGACACTCCCTCATCACAGAGGCGGGACTGCAGAGTGTGAGGATATAACCCAGATCCCAGTTTCATCATCTACGTTCAGGTCTATACATAGAAAACATGATTCACTTTGGACAAACTGTGCTGGAGTCCATGTAGGTCTGCGTCATCAGTAGTAGTCAGATCTCTCACTTAAAGAGCTCCTTCAGAGCCCCTTAAGACATATATACAGATAGTCTGCATGGAACAACACTGTAATGTGAAAAAAGTATAATTTAAAAAAAAGAAAGTGTAATTTAAACTATAATTCAATTCTAGAAACTATGAATATGCAAATCTTCATTTCTAAAGTTTTCCAGCTGGACTCATGAGGTCTCCCCCCTCACTGTAAAGTCCATCCTCAGTGTCTGTGATCTGCTGGTTCAGTGTGCCGATTGTCGTTTTGAAATGAGAAAACAAAAATTATGAATTGATGAAACAGAACAAACAGAAAAAAACCAAGAAAAAAAAACCCGACCCATTTTCTGTTTTTTTTGTTTCCCTATTAATGAACAGTCCGGAAACAGCTTGATCTCTGATTTTGGTTTTCTCTCCTTTCAAAACAGAAATCAGGATTTGTGATGTCACAAATCATGCTCGTAGGCCCCGCCCCTTAAAAATCTGATTTTCTGACGTCGATGCCTGTTCTAGATAAATTCTCAATTAAACCTGTTTTCCAAATAAGCTTTTCATCAATGGTATTATTTTGAAGAGGGAAGCTACTTCAGAAAATAACAACATATATCACATATATTTTATATCAGTGTGAGTCTGAGACAAGTCCGAGTTCAAATAGACACAAGTCCAAGACAGGTCAGAGATAACAGAGAAAGACGCTTTGAATTCCAGCAGCGTTGCATCCGACCGTAGCAACAAGAAGAAAAACAGAATATTTGACTGGAGGGGGACTTTAACACCACGGTGTAGAAATACTCTGCTCGCAGAAGCACAAATGTATTCTGCTGTATGCTGTTGAATGATGATTCAGGTCAGAGTTTTACTCAAGGACAGCTGTGACTACCAGCATGCACTGCTGCTAAAAAGCTATGGGACTGTAGGATGAACCAGACAGGTGAGGTTATGCTCGGGGGAAGGCAGCAGGCGCTCAATGCAGCTAGAATGATACAAATGTCTTTTCTAGTTTGTTTCCTTATTTGCCTAGCAACGCACTTTGTTCTGCACGGACAGTGTAATTTAGAGAAAAGGCCCCGGGCGACAGGGATAGGTCAGGATAAGGAGAGATCAGAGGGGCAGGTGTATGCTTTCTGCTGCATTGCTGTATCGTGGCTGAAGTTCTGAATTTAGTGGAATAAATGTACAGAAATACAGTAAAATCCAAGGTTGTGATCCGTTTGTGTACATACAGATACAGTCTGTGTGCAGGAGATTACACACTGGAGCTTTGACTTTATTCATATCTTTATATGATGTAATATGCAGGCTTGGGGAGTAATGGATTACATGTATGTAGTTATGTAATCAGGATACTAAAAATAAAAGCTAACTGTAATTATTGCGAGTAAATGTAAACTTTATGCAAGTTGTGCTGATTCTGAGCAATGAAAACGTTCTTACTTTAGCTGAAGACTCATTTCCCAGAAACAAGTTTTATTTTTATTTTACCTTCTTCAGATTCCTTTACTGCAGTGTAATACAGAGCAAAATATCCTTCATGTTAAAACAGACTCAAGTATTTTTCCACCTGTGTCAGTTTACAGTATAAATATTGTGTGGTTACATGTTTGGATAAATGGTTTATTGACTGTGTGTATTATGTCTGGTGAACATCTTCTTGTCTGGTGTGTTTGCAGAAGATTTATTGCTGTCAGTGTGGGAACAGACACAGATATATTCTGCCTCTTGTCCTGCAGTTCAAAACTACATAAGGAAAATTACACATTTTAGAGCTATTTAAGTAAAAGGTTAAGCTGTATGTTCTTGTGTTCATTTGTTAGGATGTTTCAGGGCTTCAGGTGTCAGGCTGAGCTCCAGTACAGCTTATTAGGTAAATTGAAGTGCAGGTTAATTAGATCAGTAAAAAAAGCAACAGTCATCTCCGCCCACTGGAGTTTGGAACAGTTAGTTGGTATTTGTATAAAAACTTTCAAAGCCAAAAAGCTCATTTTAATCAGCAAAAATCTAAAAATTGCAGTGCAGGTGGATTTTATGTCACCAAAAATACTTTTTGTTCATCAGAGCTGCCGCTAAAATTCAGTTTTAATCAAGACGGGACTCTGCCCTTCTGTCACATTCACAGAAATACATACATTCAGACATACGATGGTTATTTACCTGTGTGCCGGAGATTCTGCAGGTATAATCCTCACACCTTGTGGACAGATGAAACCACTGCAGCTCATTCAATCAGCTGTTTGTGAGGTTCCCTGAAGGCATCGAACAAAACCTGCCTCATGGTGGAGTGCTGGAGCTAACACACACACATTACAGCAAACAAACACACACACACACACACACACACACACACACACACACACACACACACACACACACACACAGTTTGTGTCACTGTGACACTGCTTACTTCCCTGGACAATATTTTGCCCATTCCTGTACAGCTCTTTACTCATTATTTATATATTGGACCATAGTGTACATATTGTCTCTATATTTTATCTTTATTTATCTTTTTCTATGTTTAATTGTTATGAACCATCTTACTTGGCAATAAACCCGATTCTGATTCTCTATGATCTAATGTGTGTATCAGTCTCTCTTCAGCCTTTGAAGCCTGATACATTAAAAAAAGTACTTACTGGGCCAATTTACAAAATTAAAATCTGTGTATACAACATTTTTTCTGTATCTTATTTGATATTTCAGGCAAATATGGCGATTTATTCATCATACCTTTTTTTTATAAACAAAAACAAATGTTGTTTTCGACATTTGGAACATTTCGAGTGGTTTTGGTTCTTTTATCTAACAAGAACTTTTTCAAAAGAGTTTGAATTTGTCAGTATAACGTACAGATACAGCAGATATAATAGCCATTGCAACATCCAAGTGGTTATCTAAGAGCAGGTTGTAAATATAAAAAACATACAAATATCTACATTTTCTCTCTGAATATATCTTTAAATGGTTTAATTAAATAATTCAAACAGTGTAAATGGGATTGCTGTAGGCATAATATTTGGATTTACAGATAAAGTGTTTGTTACACACATTTTCAACATGATTTTACTATCAAATAAAGTTAGAACTCTTAAATAATTATAAGTTGCTTTGATACTGAAATATTATTAACAATATTAATATTATTCTTACTTTAAACTTTTTTTAAATAGCAAGAACTTTCTGCCAAAACCTTGAGAATCACAACCTGGATGTGGCCCTTAGAGGCCTGTTACTGCCTGCAGTGCACAAATAATCCACCAGAGGGCAGAAGACGGGTGTTAGACTGGATGCAAAAGGTTTTTCAGGTCCATACGATACAGCTGGTGTTATTGCTCTGTTTTTGTGAAACTGTACTTTTCCTTTTTAGTGAGTGGCTCATGATGTGGCAGCGGACACCAACACAGACCAGGAACGAGACTGAATCACAACCATCCTGCTCTTGTTTGAGCTCAGATATCTATCTATAAATGTCTGCATTAATATATTATTATCTTTAATGTTGCCTTTTTTTTAATGGATTTTAATTAGTTTATCTTATCTTTCTTTCTAAAATACTTCTTTCTCACAGTTTTACACATTACTAACATGAGCTCTCATCCTGTTTCTGTCCTGTAGAAAGAGAAAGTGTGCAGGAGGAAGAGGAGAAGAGGCCAAATGTTCAACAAGTATGTGTCTCAGCTTTCCAGTTATTTCCAGTTTTTGCAATTCCAAAACTGTTTATGGACTCCAGTATACAGAAATATTCCAATACACTAAAATAACATGCCCATTAAGTGGCCATAGAACCCATTTTCATTCAGATATTTTGAGGGGAAGGGATCCCTTTGAAAGTGGCCATGACAGTTTTTCCATCGCCAACATTTAGCAAAACTTTGGATCGTTAATTATCCCCCTTCCTGAGGTGCTAGCATGACATGGTTGGTACAAGTAGTTTCATACGATATCTGTATCTGTGAAACACAGTGCGGAGTTAAAGAAGTAAGGATAATGTCAGGACCATAGTTAACCCTAAAGTTTAGTGAAATAGTTTTCTTAAGCGGGATATTCCCAAACCTTTTTTTGTCAAGGAGGAAAAGGTCCAGCAGAGAAAACTATGCAAGTGAACTTTCCAATTCACTTCAATGAGCAGCTTTTGACTGGTATGTGCTTAAACAGCACAGATGAATAAAATTTGGAAACTTCATGTAAAAATAGAAACTGTGGTTTGCATTTGAACAGCATTGAATGACTGATTGTCTGCAGGCAGTATCAGTGTCCAGTTTCATGTGGGAGAATGTAAACACCAACAGATCAGCTGGTTATTTCTGTCTTTAAGCCAGAAAAAGAGTAAAAAAAAAAACTTTTAATCTGAAACAAGTTCTCACTGAAATTTGGGAGCCGTGTCGAACCGATGATTGGTCACTTTAACGCTTGTAGTTTCCTCACAGCGCCTGAAAACAATTGGGCCCCTGTCTGTCCTGAGCTCTGAGCGAACGTAGGCCTACATAAACTCTCCAACTCATCCTTTAGAAAGATAATTATATCACTGGAACTTTAATCAGCTCTTATTTGAGCTAAAAGCCTAAAATAAACACATCATATTTTGTGAGAAGTCACAGCAATAAGTTACAATAAGATAAACAGATAAAAAGAATCATATAAAAGTAGTAAAATATTAAAAGCAGTTCAGGGGTCACAGGATGAATCTTCAGGATCAAACGGCAGAAAACATATATATTTTTATATATATGACTTTTCCCCTATTTTTGTCACTGTGTTGAATTATTTCACCTCTTCAGACCACCATTTGTGACACAGAGAATGAACG